TTTATCTACCGGTACATTTTAAAAGTATTTGGATGGCTGTGTATGCAGAAAAGTGTCCTCAAGTAATCAAAAACAGCAACAACCGCAATTGTAGCTGTAAGGGAGTGAAAATATCTGAACCAGTGTGCAAAAATGTGTCAGTGTTTTTTTTTTTTTTTTTTTTGTCTTCTAGCAATTGTTTTTCACAGTAGGGGTTCTCGAGATTTGCCTAAAAGCCTCCGACTTGTTACGAAAAACAAACAAGCTGTCAGGTCATAAATCCCGAGGCTTGAGAACGCTTTGGTTGGACACTGAAACCAGCAGAGAAAAATCTGACAACTCGCAAGAAAAACTGTTCCATCGAGTTTAAAACGTGTACGGACAGCTGAGACTTGGACTTTTCTTTAACTGTTCCACTCTTTTGTACTCCATTTCTTAGCAGGGCTGGGAAGCCAAGCAACTGCTTCCAATCCTGAAATATTAAAATTATTAAAAACACTTCACCCGGCTGAAGGAATTCAAGAACCATGACTTGCAGAGAGATAGGGCAACAATTTCCTTGAACTTGTTTGTTTTCACTTGAATGCATCTTTGTTTGAGTCTCTGCATTACTAATGCACTACAAATGCCAAAGGCGGCAGTGAGATGGAACACCGTGTCCGTATTGTAATATTTATCACCCTCTCTTTCTGATAACTCTGCTTTGTTCTGCATAAGCCTAAGTGAAAAGACCAGAGAAGTCAGCAGTTTAGTCTAAAGCAACAAATCTGTTCAGTGCCTCGCTGTCGTATTAACATCTCTGGAACCATTTCGCTTTGTTGTCACCCAACAACCACACATAATTTGGTGACTAGCATATAGTGAAGTGGGAAGAAAATGATACATGGCTTTCAAAATTGTTACAAGTAAAACTCTTAACGTCATAGATGTCTGCTCAACCCGTCATCCAAAAAAAAAAAAAAAATGGAATTGGAACGACATAATTACAGTCATGGATGTTCATCTAAACTAAAATATTATTAATCAGAGGAGCAACCAAGAGGCAGATGGGAACAATGGAGGAGCTACAACTCCTCCATCACACGCCTGGATCAACTACCAGGCGTGTGATCCAAAATACCTGGTCTCTATGGAAGAGCAGCAGGACGCAAGCTAAACACAGGACAACTGTAAGAAAACCTGCTAGAGGAAGCAAAAGGCTAACGATAGCCCTTCCAGCAGGACAATAAACCTCATCATAAAGCTAAAAGTACAACTGAATGGTTTATATTCAAATATTTCCATGTATAAGACAGTAATAACCTTGAATCTAATTTATTATTCACATTTGCAAAGTGTTGTTCGCATTTGTTCTGTGAACTCCACTTCGAGCAAAGCTGGTCGAAATATGCTCCAAAAGTCTGGAGTCTTTTGGAAACCATGAATCATTTTCTTTAAACTTCATGATTTTAAGCCGCCTTTCGTCCATCACTTCAAATCCCAACGGGTTACATTACGGTCAACGCATGGCAAAAATATGAAAGTTCAGGGAGTATTAATGCTTTAACTTGCCACTCATTTTTGAAACATTCACTATAAAAAAAAAACAAAATAAAAAAAAACAAAAAAAACAGCAAAAGTTTATATTAAAATATACGTTTAAAGTTTAAACAAGTCAGAACTCAGGGGTTATAACCTGACATAAATAATAGAAAACACTCCTGCATAAAGTTCAAAATATGATTTAAAAAAA